GCTAATGAATATGATTCATGCACCCGAGCCCGAGGAGTTTGATACTCCGTGTACATATATATCCCCATGTGTCTATAACAGCAGTTGTCGGGTTATTTCCTGGCCCCCAAGACCTTGGGGTGAGTTCTACTATAAATTCAGTCAAGGCATGTGCCTTGATAGAGGGTCGAAGCTTGAACTCGATGTTAAATTTACTAAGTTCAGTTGCCCACTTCAATAGTCTACCAGACACGTCGGGCTTTTGGAATATGTACTTGAGTGGTTGATTCGTGAGCACTACAATTGGATGAGATTGGAAATATTATCGCAGTTTTCGTGCAGCTACCACCAGGTTAATTGGTTGTTAAGCTTTGTTGACTTTTTTTTACCAATACGCCACTTACTACATTTTGAAAAATTACCAAGTATAAAAAGAGCTGGCTTCGTGAGAATTGGCGGGGTTTTGGAATGCCGAGAGCTTTGAAAAACATGAAGCATTTATCTGCTGCTCAAGACAAGAACCTATTCAAAGCAGCGACCCAACCTGTTAGTTTTTGTACTTCTTTTTTGTTCCTAGGGGACTCTTTGGACTTCAGCGGTTGTATATTGTCTGGATTGGCATCAATTTCTCTGTGCATGATCATGAAGCCTAAGAATTTGTCCGAGACTACCCCAAAAGCGCACTTTGCTGGATTTAATCTCATGTTATATTCTCCAAGGTAGAGAATACTTCCTTAAGATCAGCGATATGTTGGTTCACCTGTTTGCTCTTGACTACCATGTCATTAACGTAGGCCTCAATATTTCTTTTCAATCAACTTAGTGAAGATTTTGTTGACAAGCCTCAGATAGGTTGTCCTTGCATTTTTCAACCCAAACGGCATGACTCTGTAACAATATATGGCCAAGTCGGCCATGAAAGATGTTTGTTTATCTTCCTCAGCCATGAGGATGTGAAGATATCTAGAAAATACGTCGAGCAAGCTGTACAATTTATGGCCCAAAATGTTGTCCCCGAGGTTGTCGATTTGAGGTAGAAGATAGCTGTCTTTCGAAATACCTTGTTAAGATCTGTAAAGTCAATACATACTCTCCATGAAAGATGTTTCTTTATCTTCCTTAGCCATGAGGATATGATGATATCTAGAAAATGCGTCGAGGAAGCTATACAATTTATGGCCCAACGTGATGTCCACGTGGTTGTCGATCTGAGGTAGGAGATAGTTGTCTTTCGAACATGCCTTGTTAAGATTTGTAAAGTCAATACAAACTCTCCATTTGACATTGGCTCTGTTGATGAAGACAACGTTAGCGAGCCGGTCATGGTATTAAACTTCCCAAATGAACCGAACATTAATTAATTCACCAATTTTTTCTCGTATGACTTCGCGGTGCTCTCGAGGAAATTGTCTCTTCCCTTGCTTGATTGGCTTAGCTCCTGAGCTAATATTAAGTTTGTAGACTGCTACCCTAGGGTCAATCCCAGGCATATCTTCAACATTTTAGGCGAACAAATCAATATTGCGAGACATGCAGCTTACGAGTTCAAACATAAGGGTGACATCAAGATCTCGACCAATCGTCACTTTTTTACCGAGCTCGACCTCTACCAATTCCTCCATAGGAGCAAGTATTCCTCCGTGGTCAGGCTCAGGTTCAAATGATGAGATTGGCATGACATTGGCGTTTATTCCCCATACACTAGTAACATAGTATTGTCTAGCAGCTGACTGGTCTCAACGCACGACCACTATACCATTACTTATAGGGAACTTCATAGCTAAGTGGAAAGTGGAGACAATAGCTTTTATCTTGTTGAGCAATGGCCTTTCTAGAATGTCGTTGTAAACCATCGGAGCACGAACTACCTGGAATGTTGTAATTTTTGTCACTTTCTTCTGATTTGATCCCAAGATAAATGAAAGATTGACGACTCCCTCCGGGATGATCGTACTGCCTCCAAATCCTTGAAGTGGGGTTTTATTTGCTTTGAGTTGTTCGACCGAAATCCCTATCCTTATGTATGCCTCATAAGAAAGTATGTTGGCTACACTTCCATTGTCAATCAGAATCCTATTTACCTCAAAATTAGATATGATGGCCGATATGTCAAAGGTATCATTATGAGCATATGATAAGCCCTCCAAGTCTTGTGACCCAAATGTGATGTCTTCCTGGTTATCATGAATTTGCCTTGAAGTTGGGGTGTACTGCCTAACATACTGCTTACGTCTATTATTCGAGTCTCCTCCTAATGCTATATCCCCGACACTAATGTTAATGGTTCTTACTATGGGCTTGTCATTCTTCTTTCCTTCTGGACCTTCCCCTTATTACAATCATTCCTTGATCGCTTGTCAGGACTGACGTATGAACTTAGGAATTCCCTTTTATTAGCACATCAATCTCTCGTTGTATGGCTTTACAGTTCTCCGTTGTGTGCCCATGATCCCTATGATAATCAAAATATTTGCTCTCATCTCGAGTATTATGAGGGGATTGCATCCTTAAGGCCATTTAAACTCCTTTATATCCTTGATCTCCATCAAAATGTTAGACTTAGAAGTTTTCAGTCGGGTGAAAGAGGTTGGTTGTGTTTCCTATCTCTACTTATTCCTGGCAAGTGGCAACTTCCGGACGGGGATTGGAATCATGTTATATTTTGTGTTTGGGTTTTTTAAATTCAGATGAGGATTCTTCATCGGGTTCAATGTCTTCTCCATATTAATATACTTTTCGGCTCAGGCGAGGAGCTCTGTTATCGACTTCGACGGTTTTTGACAAAGACATTTTGAAGGCGCGCATCTTACGGCATATGTGAGTGTGGAGATTGCTGATGTGATATGTAGGTCGGGTAACTGAAGTCTTTCCTTATTGAACCTCATTATGAAGTTTTGTAGGGTTTCGTTCGACCTTTAACAGAGTTGCATAAGGGAAGCTGTTGTTTTCTTGATGTGTTTCCTACTTGCAAAAAAGGCAAAAAACTATTAGCCAAATCGAAGAATGAAGTAACGGAATTGGGCTCTTGGGTAGAGAACAAATCCTTAGCAGCATTTGTCAAAGTTTGTGAAAAAACTTTGCACATCACCGGATCTAGTGCCATTTATAGATTCATGGCATCGGTATAGACGTTGAGATGATTGATTAGATCTGTAGTTCTGTCATACTCTTTTATGCGGTGATACTTGAATCTGTCTTGTAAAGGGTACGAAAATATCTCTCGAGCGAACGGGGTGTTAGGAGTGAAACCTGTTGACCCCTGAGTATTCCGAAGCATACTAGCTACAATTTTATCCTGGATGATCCGGCGAGTTCAGTGGAGTCCATAGTAACTAATCTCGAACTTGAGATCATGCTAGGTAGCCTCAGGTCCCGGTATCACCGATGCCCGGAATGTCATGAGGAGTTCATGCTCGAGTGTCTGCCATGAATAGCCCCGTGGTACTGGTACTGGATGCGAATTTCTTTGACTCAACAACTGAGTTAGTTTAGCAACTTGTTGGTAGAGCTCCTCAAAAGCTGAAGTAGTAACAACTGTTGGTTGGGACATTGGTATTCTGATGATTTTTCTTGGAGGGCTGGAGGATGATTTGGGATGGATGAGCTTGCTAGAGGAAGACCGGAACGTGTATTAACCACAGGTTTTGGTAGCGCTTTCCACAAGCGGCACCAATGATGCCACCAAAAGCCGTACTTGTTGATTTTCGAGTTTGAAGAATGAGAATGAGCACGAACAGAGTCTTCCAGTACCTGAAACAAAGGCGACGAAGTGTTTTCTCGTCACCTCTCCGATACTTAGGTTAGAGAGAGAATTTGTATGTAAGGCTATGAATTGAAAATTATGTAAAAGCGTACCTAAATAACAAATTGGATTGTTGTATTTATAAAGGTACGTAGTACGTTCGTGATAGGATTAAGTTATTCAAATCCCTAAAAGTCCTACCATGCTTAGAAATTGCAACTTGATTGGCTTCATAATATTGATGTGTTTGAAATAAAGATAGAATTCCAGTGATAGAGTCCTTATCTAAACGAGATAGGAACAACAAGACTCGTCATTCTTGGAACCGGATAAGTTCCATCTTATTGGAGAGTCCTAATGGGACAAGAGTTATTAGGTGTGAAGTCAAGACGTTACCTAGAGGAGATTGTTAGCTGATGAGAATAGTTATACCCGAGGAGATAGGCCGACCAGGCCTAGATGGTATTGTCTTATGTTCCCAGGGAGGAACCATCCCGAGGAGATTCTATGCCCGAGGATAGTAGATTGAGATTGATGATATCAACAGTACACTCCTCGGGATACGTGCTCGGATTATCACATAATTTTGGGATCGTCTCATCCTAGCGATCAAGTCAATCATTCTCCCAAAAGAAAATTGAAAAAAATCAATATCTTGAAGAAAAAAATGTTTCTATATGGCATATGGAGTAATATGGCATGGGGTTTTAAACATGGAAGATGAGATTAGCCTTTTGAGGTATAGGTGAAAGGATCACATCTTAAGGTTAGCCAAATTAGCGTTGCATTTTCTTGTGGATTTCAGCCATATCCTGTGAGATTGTGAAGCACGACCCGACTTTGTGTTGGACAAAGCACTATAATCCGACCTGCTGAATTATCACGAGTATTGGACAAACTTCAACTCGATTAACTTGTTGACTTTGTTAGGATATTTAACTTTGCTGCAATACTCAAGAATCTACTAATTCTATTCAGTCTGATGTCTAATACTGGCCCTTTGGGTAAAACTCAGCACCATATGTGTTACCCCAGTTGTGTCACTTGTCACTAACTTGGATATGAAAGTTTTGGATATGAAAGTTTCATTACACATTTTGAAAATTGCTTGACTGTTTTCTTGATCCATTATCTTTTGATAAAATCCACAACAGAATCTAATCATAGAATCACAGCTTCCACCCCCACCCCCACCCCCACCCCCCCCTCTCCCTCCCTCTATATATACACCAGATCATTAGATTTTAGTTAAAAGCATTAGCATATACATTTCTTGAGCATGGCATTCAATGCATCCTCCATCAAAACCTCATCAGATGGAATATGGCAAGGAGAAAATCCACTTCAATATGCATTCCCCTTGTTGATCATTCAAACCACCTTAGTCATCCTCACGAGTCGCGCCGTTGCCTTCTTCCTCAAGCCCCTCCGCCAACCCAAAGTCGTCGCTGAGATAGTAGTATGTTATTTTCACCGGTTTTTATATATGAGTGCTGTTCTTTCGTTTGCTTTTTACTAGTTATCTTTGTTGGCTATAATGGCAAAAACTTGTTTTTAGGGTGGTATCATTCTTGGGCCATCAGCACTTGGCAGAAACAAAGATTTCATGCACTGGGTATTCCCATCATGGAGCACTCCAATCCTTGAATCTGTGGCAAGTATAGGACTTCTCTTCTTTCTGTTTCTTGTAGGCCTCGAATGCGATTTAAATGCAATACGTAGGAGCGGGAAGAAAGCATTAGGCATAGCCGTTGCAGGTATATCTTTTCCCTTCCTCTTGGGCATTGGAGTCACCTTCCTACAAAGAAAAGCTATAAAAATGTCAGATAGAAAAGGATATGCCGAGTATTTCGTGTTCATCGGTGTTTCTCTTTCCATCACCGCCTTCCCGGTCTTGGCTCGCATTCTAGCCGAGCTCAAACTACTCACGACCGGAGTTGGGGAGACTGCCATGGCTGCAGCAGCCATCAATGACGTGGCAGCGTGGATCTTGCTTGCCCTGTCTGTGGCAGTGGCCGGTGGCACCCACAGCCCCTTGGTTTCCATTTGGGTTCTTCTATCTAGTCTTGCATTTGTCGGTTTCATGATAGTAGTTGTCCGGCCAGTGATGAACTGGGTGGCAATAAAATGCTCGTCTGACCATAACATTGTCGACGAGGGCTATATATACTTAACATTGGCTGCAGTTATGGTTTCCGGGTTTTTGACTGATCTCATAGGAATACATGAAATATTTGGGGCATTCATATTTGGACTGATAATACCTAAAAGGGGAGAATTGGCAGGAAGATTGATAAAAAGAATTGAAGACTTTGTTTTTGGGCTTCTTTTGCCTCTGTACTTTGCTTCAAATGGATTAAAGACCGATGTTGGTAAGATAAACGGGGTGGCGGCATGGGGACTTTTAGCGGTGGTTATTTCCTCCGCTTGCGCCGGGAAGATTTTGGGAACATTCATGGTGGCTCTGCTGTGTACCATTCCCGTGAGGGAATCATTGACACTTGGTTTATTGATGAACACCAAGGGATTGGTGGAGCTAGTTGTTCTAAACATCGGCAGAGAGAAGAAGGTAACATTAAATTT